GGGGGGGGGGGGTTGTATTAGCTTCGAGTGACCAATCGACTCAGTCTGATTTCGCCTATTTAAAGAGGATCTATTCTTTTAATTTGGAATTGAATGAAACGAATTTTTTGAACTGTTGCAGTATTTCATCGATAGTACGGTATTATATCGATTACATATAAGTAACGCACCCATGTTTTCACTCGATGCACTTTGTTTTGGTTCAACTAAAACCGTTTGATACTGTAATATATAAGAAAAGTATGTGAGCCAGGATACATATTTTACGTTATAGTTATAGAAATCATATGCTTAAGGATTATTACATTGGCTTTTATTTATAATTATTTTTTAATTTTGAACTAAAGATAATAATAATAATAATAATAATAATAATAATAATAATAATAATAATAATAAGAAGAAGAAGAAGAAGAAGAAGAAGAAGAAGAAGAAGAAGAAGAAGAAGAAGAAGAAGAAGAAGAAGAAGAAGAAGAAGAAGAAGAAGAAACAAGGGAATCACTTATTTAACAATACAATTTAATATTTGATTATAAAATTAATACCAAAGGCATTATTAAATTAAATTATTCTGACATATAATAATTGTATTCCCATAAATATTGCAATAAATTACTCTGTGAAAAAGCTCATGGAAATTATTTACAAAATATCTACAAACTATTTGAAATTATCTTAATATATTTTCTATTACCTGAGATAAACAAGCACGGATCAAATTATCTGGATACAAATTTCTAAATAGAAAGAAGAGAAATTATTCATTGAATTAAATGGCAAAGGAATTTATAGAGAGTATTTAAATTCGATTTAATAATAACAGTTCTATTAGTAGATCAATATACAGTATAGCCAACAACACGGAAGAGCAGAACAAAAAACGGTATCGATTCCGTGTTATGAATGTTCAAAAACGAGGCTTATTCCATTATATGTAATAACGTTCTCTTTTTTCATAATTCTTATTAATAAAATTATCAAAGAATTTAAACTGCTATTATTATGTTAATGAGAATTCTACTATATTTTTTATCCTACTGCCTATTGATTCGTTTACCTGGTAAGATATATGATTTAATATATATATATATATATATACATACATACATATATATACATATGTGACATTAAATTACTGGATGGCATTCTCAAATATTAACTATTAATATTAAGTATTTATCACAATATGTAAGCAATAAATAAACAAATAAATAAGTAAGTACGTAGCGTAAAATATGAAAATGTTTTAATCGATATTTTTAACGAAATTCAATTTCCAACGACAATGGCTAACATATCAAATTTTTAATATTTTCTTCTCAAATGACGTGAATTTTCAAGTGTATTACAATTAATTTTAAAATCCACCCATTATTATAACGTGTCGTTATAACGTTTAAATAATCATATTTTATTATGATATAAATCGTGAAACAAATATCTTTCTTGTACAAGATTTTTAACGATAAAATGCCGTCGCGTATATGACAAATAATAATGAAATTTAATATTATATTATGAAGGACTATAAAAATAAGGGAAAATGTGAGATTATTGCAAGGGCTTAAAAGCTTAAAAATACAGATATGTCTTGTCATGAACGACAATTAAATAAAACAACAACAACAACAACAACAACAACAACAACAATAAACAAACAAACAAGAAAAACAAAAGATTCTATCAAAAGTATCTAAAATTACGGAATAAAAACATTATATTATAATATTCTCGTTATTATAACAACTATATTTTTATTATTTGCGTTGAAAATATAATTAACATTTAACTGCTTAATAAAATATCTTGTAATAAAGTAAATTGTCCAATAATTTAAGAATCTTTAGAGACTCATTTAAGCCAACGACAAATGTATGTGTGCGCGCGCGCGCGCGTGTGTGTGCAATCAAATATTTTAAAAGAATGTTGAAAGCTTGGTGATTTTGATACCTCGTGTATAAGTTGTTAATTTTTTTTTTTTGATTTTATTGAATTTGGACGAGCAATTTGTTTTACCCGTGGTTAAGTTCGTGATCTTTACACATTTGACAATACCTACCAATGCTGAAATCTGTTGAGTTTTTATTAATAATTTTCAATTGTTGCAATACAAAATCTTATGTATAAAATATCTATGGTTTTTGCAATACAAATCTTTATCTAAAAAAGTCTTCAAATTTCATTTTAATTATGACACATTAATAATAAGTGCCAATAATGATTATATATGTACGATAAAAATGTACATTTTCACAAATTCGTCCCACCTCAATATAGTGGTACAATTTTATTAAAAAAAAAAAAAATGACATCTTATAGTTTCAAATGTAAATATTAACACGTGAATTGAAATATCTAAACTTTCATAAATTAAAAACAGCTTGTAATATATTACCTTAATAAATCCAAAAACACATCAGCAGTCACAAAATTGATACGTGGCTTTACATTGGTGATATTCGACTTATCAGCCGATAAGTCGAAAGAATCCCATTGACCAGGTCGAATAATTTGAGAAAGTAAAATGCTTAAAGTAATCCCTAAAGATGTCGTTGTAATATAATAGTATAGTGCCTTGATACCAATACTTCCTGCACAAAAAAAAAAAACTACTTTAATACGCGATGCTCTATCTCTATTTGATCATATTTCATTAATATACAGCTCGATATTTATAACTATTTATAATTTATAATTTTTATTTTCAAATACTATTGTGTCTTTGTTTTTTCTTTTCGTTTTCATCTATCAAATCAATCCTTGCAAATTAAGGATAATATTTGCTTTCAAATATAAAGCATTTTTCAAGAGCATCTAAAAACTTTAGCATTAGTGTAGTCGAATCTTCATGTTGCTTATTCAGGTTTCAACTGCGAAAATGATACTTGGAATATTCACATTAACACCGCTAAAATTATACTTTTGCCTACTTCAAGTGTAAGAATTTACATGTTTCTATTTCCATATTATTAAGTTTCAACTGTCGTAAGCCTCGAATTTATCGCCTGCTGCAAATTAAAGATACAGAAAGTGGAATGTTTCCTACAAGAGAATATTAAATCCAGGCTCACTCGTAGCAACAGTCGGTATAATCAGCGCAAATCCCAAAAATTATATTCCTATAATTTCAAAAGTAAATTACCGTTTTTGACTGTATTTAATTTACCGAGTGGAAATACATTGAATTCATCAATCGGTCGTGCGATTATTATTTCCTACAACGATCAACCAGTAGTTACGACCAACGCTAAGAAATTTTTCCAAACTATCCTCAACAATGGAAGAAACATATCCTCCTCCGTACCAGACTTGCCAAGGTCCGAGCTCGCGCTCACAATACTCGTGACGACGAGGGGCAGAACCAAGCAGTTGACCATCTGAATAAAAATCTCGCCGGGAAACTGCAAGTACATAAGTTCGCGTTCGCTCCACGGTTGTGCGGTCCAGTATCTCAGGGCCAGACCGAGCGCGAGGCCCGCCAGGATTCCCAGAAGGATGCGCGCCGGCGCGCTTGGACGCCACATGCCCGCCGTCCTCTTCTGCAAACATAAAGAGAGTAGATTCAGGGAGAGTGCTCTACCAGTAAACATGATAAATTATTGGAGGATTTGTCAAGCGGGAATGTGAGAGAAGCCGGTTTTAAGAATGGTGAGCGCTTTGCTTTTCATAAATCTGACGTCTTTACAAATCTGTGACATAGAATGTCAATTTTATTTTGCAATATATTGCATTATGCATCGCTTTTTTTATAAGTATATTGTAAGTCTATGACCGACGTTATATATTCAGAGTGGTAATGTAACATTCGTCTGAACCATAAATTGAAATCGGCAAGATGTAGAATTAACGACAGCATCGATTGCCGCTGTGCTCACTCGCGTATACATCGCTTCCGAACATCCTTGTTTCAATTGCAAAAACTAATGTTTTAGATAAATAACAATGGCCAATTGTTGCATTATTTTTCAGTTTATCGTTTTCTCTATGCTTAAATGTGCATTAGGTATTAATTGTGAAGAGGATGTGCTTTGAATTTATCTACAAACTGTGAGCTAAAAATTCAATTGTGAGCATATTAATTACACGTGGAATCGTATATAAACTAAAAATAATAAAGTAAAGAAATAATGAAGAAAAGAAAAGGTAATTTTAAAATGCAACGCATTAGTCATTTATGAATTTATTTTTACAAACTTATTTATAGTGGATTAAGATACACGACGATAGATACTTATGTTTGCGAAGTTGATAAAGTATCAGTGAATTAAGCACGGGACGGTTTTATTTTTTATGATATATATTAACAATATATCATTTAAACTTGTCCTAGATTTATCACGAATAACTAATATAAAGATAATTATTACGAATTAAATATTGTTTGAAACCTTGAAGCCCGACGGATATCATATAATAAGAATACGGGCTTTAGATAAATTTTATTTAAATTTATATTTATCTTTATCGACGAATCAGTACATGCATTAGCAAATTATAATAAACGTAAATAATCTAGCAAAATAATAAATAATACGATATTCGTAAATAAACATAGACAATTATCTTCTTTAACACGAATGCATTATTTTAAATTACAGGCATTATGTAGATATATTTATTTACTATACGTCATCGTGTTACTTGGAATATTATTCCACAAGCATTAATGTCATTTAATTATATCATTAGAATTACTTAAACATTGATACAACAAATCATATTTTTGAGGTTTTTTCATTCGTTTCTTCTCTTTTGTTTAAAAATTTCCTTTATACATTGAATGAGATAATTATTCATAAGATTGAGCAACGTTATCTTAAAATACCAAGTGAAGTTAATGCGACAATTGTAATGCAATACTCAACATTATTTTAACAATATTAATGTAATATACAAATGGCCGGAATTATTAAAATTTTTATTACGTACGAATTGTTCGTATCTCCGAAAGGTACATAAATTGCCCGAGACATTTGTGATGTAATCAGTGGAGTATTATTAATGGGAGATGAAGAAAGCATATTTTTTATTCTTAATTTTTAAACGATCGACTAGTCACTCTACTACCGTCTGCTTCTATATAAAGAAAAGTAGTAACATTACTGGCACAATGGGAAAGGTTAAAGTAAAGTCGGGTAAAATGTGAAAATTTTTATATAAATTGATAGTAATATTTGCCATTTGGTGCGATGATTTTCCCTGATTTTTCATCGCAAGACAAGTCATTTGCAAGGCAAATCATTAAAATTCTATTAAAATTCCAATAAATTATTGGCACAAAGGTGCCTCACTGCTCTTTATCGAAGATATCCAAAATCTTTTATAAACATTTCAACCTTTCCCATGATTAACCTATCGTACTATTTTCAACGTTATTTCAACATTATTTAAAATTATTTAAACATTATGTATCATAAAGTGAGTAATAGTCTCTTTTATATTGCCTTGTTTAAATCAACGATTCCTCACAAATAGCCATTTGAATATATTAAACTCTTGTCGACGATAATAAATATCTTCGCGAACGCCCGACAAACATATGCTTGATAATATTTGCACTGGATAACATAAGGAATAAAAAATTAATTTACAATCAGATATAAAGATGCCATTTAATTATTCTCGTAATCGAAATCGATGTTACGGTAAGATCGTGTTACCATCACCGGTCACTCTCGCCGAACAAAAGCAAAGCTCCGAAACACAATGCTCACCCAAAAATTAATCCTCGGCGCTATTATTATATAGGCCGTACGACAGACCGTTGGAGCCTAAGACAAACAGATCGATCGGTAATAAGTCGCGTAGACAATAAACAAGCGCACTTGAAGCGTAATAAGTAGGGCAGGTTATTTCTTCTATTCAAAGTTGGCTTTATTTCCGCGTCGATTTATGCCTTCAAGCTCATCTCACCCCCCCCCCCCCCCCCCCCCC